CGCTTTAGAACGAGGCACCTCCATCTGCACATCTGACCCAAGATCCTCAGAGCGGGCTGTTGTTTTCGGTCTCTCCCCCGAAGGCGTCCTAGGTGCTGGTGTTTCGCTCTTAGCCTTCGGTTGGAGTGGGAGTGGGGGCTTCTTCGCCCCCTTCATATAGATCTTTTGGGACTCCAGCCGCATCTGGCGAGTTGCCTCGCGGGTGCGTTCCTCTTCTAGTCGTCTGCGCTCCTCATCTGCCGCAGCTCGCTGGGCCCTCTGTTCGTCGTCATCCATCATTTCTGGCCGTTGGGACTAACTGGAAACGCCGGGCGAGTTTCCTCGCGTTCCAGGAAGACGAAAGAGCGCATCTTTTTCTTCCTGGGTCATGGGCACCAGTCCTCTCTGAGGCTGAACCTCCGCGGCCTTAGGCCTCATATGGACTGTGATTCCGAGACGACGGCTGATCTCTGCGATCTCGTCTTGAGTCATCGGAATCAACGGTGGATGACCCTCCTTGGCAGGAGTGCGGCCTCTATTCGGGCTCAAACTCTCGTTGAGCCCCACAGGGCACCCAGGTCTATGCTCCTGAAATGGCTCTGAGCACGGCCCACAAACTGCGTTAGGTCTGTACAGTTTGCGTGCTGCAATGATATTTCGCAGTTGCGCCCGTACTTCTTCTATTTCAGCACTGCGTACATTCGTCGCGAGTTGGTAGCCACCTCGTATGGACTTGCCTTGGGCATTTCTGTAGGCTGGGTTGCCTTTTCCGAAAGCAGAATGTTCACCCTTCCGACGCCTAGGGTCATTGTAGGGAAGCAATTGACCCCCCCGCCGAGCAGCATGCTCCTTCGGGCCTGCTTGCCTCCATTCGCGAGGGAGCCGCGCTTGCGGATGAGGTTATTCCCTGAGGCGTGGGTGAGAGCGAGACCTCCTGGCGTGCTCATCAGATGAAGCTGCCGACGTAGCCTGAGCGGGAGCCGGCGGGGGCTCCTGCGAGATCCCAGGCGGATCATCTAGAGTGGGCAGGTCTCCCTGCTGACTGGAGCCCGGCGCAATTGGCTCTTGCGCCGGTGGTGGTGTGTCGGGCATGTCGGGACTAAAATCCACCTCTTCTTCACCATTGACCTCCATCATGAGGATTGTGGTCTCGTCCTCGCACAGCCCACATCCATCGCCCTCTTCATCTTCTGATATAGGATTACCGATGACGACGGTCATCGGTCCAGCCGGGGCGGGCAGGTTTCCCTGCGTTGCCAGCGTCTGAGCATCGCTTGGCTGTCCCGGCGTAGGCGGTACGGTTGTCGGCTCAGGCTCGTTGCCGAGCACAGGCTGCCCGGCAATATTACGCATGGCCGTATGGTTGGGCCACAATCCCGCCGCCTGGAGACCCCATCCTGGCGGAGGAAGAGCCTGACCGCGCATGGCGATGGCCCTTTCAAGGGCCTGGCGCCATCTCCCTCTGGAGTACCACACATGCCGCTGCACGTCCTCAGGGTGCACGCTATCAATGAGAGTCAGGGCCGCCAGCACTAACTCCGAGTCGTCACAGGCACCAGTGTCTTGTAGCATCATATGGCCAGCTTCGATGCTCTCTTGACTCTCGGGATATGCTATAACCAATACAGCGTGCATCTTCATGAGGGTCTGCAATAGCGCGTGTGGTCCGTACTCGCCAGGGGCAAGCGAGCCAGGGGGTATAAACGGGTCCCCTGGCACGCCCATCACGAACGCTTGAGACTCCATCTCCATCAGATCAGCGTAGTTTGGAGGATATGTAGGAATAGGCCTGTTTCCATGCATAAGGTCGGGTTGAGGTTGAAGGTTGCGATCAACCTCCGAAGGCGAGGCTTGAACAGTACCATTGTCGTCGCTGCTCTCGTAGGCCATGATGTTGCCTGGGTTACCGAACATCCAGTCAAAGAAGGATAAAGGCTCGTTTCCCAGCGTACCATGTTCCACAGGCGTAAGCTCGTTGTTGCCGACAACGAACCTGTGGAGGTACTCGAGGTAGTACGCGTACAGTCCGTGGCCGTACGCCTCGAGCTCATCTAAATTGTCCATGCTGCTGGCCCAAGTGAAAAATATCTGCTCCATGGCCTCACAATCTTGGAGGCTCAGATATTCAATAACTGGTTCACTTGAGCCGAAATGGACTTCGGTCGATCTTTCACAAGATGATCGGTACTATCACACTCATGGCACTTTAGGATCTGGCCGTCTCTACCTCGCGGGTTTCCCCGCCTACCTTTGCCTTTACCTGAGGTATCTCTACGGCCTTTACCACGGCCTTTTCCCCCGAAATATATCTCATCAAACTGGTCATCTGAGAGCCTCTGGAGGAAGGCCGTGATGCCTCGTCCATGTAACCTACGACGACCCCGTTTGCCTTTACCTTTTCCTTTGAAGATCCTCCGTATCCTCCTCCTAACGCGACGCACCGGTTTCCGTGTGAACCTCCTCCACCTCCTCTAAGCCTGTTGTAATAGCCAGAACAGGTGTTCGGCACGCTGATTGTCACCTTCCATGTTCATGATATCTGACCAATCGAAAGGTTCAATACCGTCTGATGATATAGTATCGGTGTCGGTGCCGGAGTCGAAATCGTCGTCTCCCAGGTAGGTGGATACGCCGTCGGTTAGGGGGTTTGCTTCACCCCATAAAGAGCGGTGTGGCTGAGGTTCTCTAGGACGAGGGCTGGTTGCCCAGCTTGGTTGCGATCGGTCCCCTGCTAGTAGGGCAGTAGACTCTCCAGGGTCGTCGGCCCATATGCTTGGGGGCCCGGTTCCAGGCTGAGCTCCAGTGGTTAAGGTAGTGTAAAAATTTCCACTGCCAGATCCCCTTCCCCGTCCAAACACCAGGAGACCGTTCTGACAGATGGTCTATCGAACGCATCCTCTCCAGCAGCTCATCATACTGTTGTTGTGTTCGGGGCATTTGGTGGTTGAGTGGCTGTAAGAGTTGCATGGCTCGCTGGTTGCCAACGCCTAGGGCGCGGAATAGGGTAGTAGTGAGCAGTTGGAAGTTGGGAAGGTCAAATTCCACCGACTGTGCCTCAAGACGGGCCATCTCGAACCGGGTGAGGGTGACATCGATTCGTTCTCCGTGAGGCACATGAAAGTCGATGATCTGTGTGCCTGAAGTTCGCTGGCGCTCATCTTCCAGGCGATCGAACTTCATGCTTAGGAGGAACATGATGTAGGTTACTGGGCCGGTGTGTACACCATCGATGTCCGCACCGTAGTTTATAATGTCAGGGGGTACCCTCATGGCGAGTGTCCTCGCTAGGCCACCCAGGCCGCGTTGTATGGCGGCCGCTTGGGCCTGTGGCGTCATACGTCCACTTGTGACGTTGAGCCACGCGTTGACCTCATAAACGTACTCGCGGAAAGGCACGTTGCCTTGAGGGTCCCAGTATGGGCCATGTGTTTGCCCATCGGTGCTATTATCTCCACGGCGCATGTGTCCGATTGCTGCCCCCAGCGCGAACCATATGATGGCGAATATAACCAGCCCAAGGCTGTGAAGATAGGGGTGGTTATTAGGCGCGTTGCCGCGCTGGGGTAGCGCCTTGTCAAGTCTTCGAGGCGTGTTATCTTGCGGGTCTCCCCGCCTCTGCTTCAAGTACTGCGCTTTCGGCTCGTTGCCGAGCGGTTGGTAGTAGCGCAGCGATGAAGCGTATATGGTACCAATGTTGTTGTCTAGACGTCGTACCTCTCGTGTTGCTTCTTGCTCTTGAACTGATCCTCGTAAATGTACTGGGAGTGGTGGCGCAGGGTGGTAGTTGGTCACGAAGATCGTGCCGTATAGCGTGAGGATAAGAAGAGCAAGAGCTGACCACACGAGAGTGCGGCCAGCTCCGCTACCAAGTCTGAAGTGACTATGGTAAGTCAAATAGCATCCGATCCCATGGGAAGCGGATGGCAAATAGCGTCCGGTATCGTACTGAGGTTGTTCAGTAAGAGGAATGGACGGATAAGATAGGATAAGATCGATGTAATGATCTTTCCAGCACATAGCGAACACTCGCAGTGTCCGGGCAAATAGGGCGCGCGTGCCTTTAGGCAAAGGCAACGGCGCGCGAACTATACTCCCGATTCTATATAACATCTCCCACAGAGCTACCCTTAAAGTGCGCGGCGGCGGCGGCGGCGGCGGGCGGCGGCGGCGGCGGAGGCGGCGGCGGCGGCGGCGGATGCGCCCCCAGTAGCTGCCCATCCAAAGACGACTGAATATGCTGCGGCTCGGGCCAGGCTCGGGTGCTGCGTATGTGTTGGGAGGGCGGGTGGGAGTGAGGGAGACGGCTTGCGAGCGGGGAGGGAATGTCTTGACCCCTCCCCCTACCCCCTCCCCTGGACCTGGACGGGGGGTTTCGCGAGGTGTCAGGGCGTCCAAAACGGCCTCGGCGAGGAAGCCAAAATCATTTGTTCTCTCAAGGTTTTGGCCCTATTTTGGCCTCCTGAGGGGGGGCCCTAATTAAAGCTCCCCTCTTGTTTGATCGATCTCGTCCAAGATGGCCCCAAGAAGCGCCCAGGAGGCCCCAAGAGGTCCCAAGATGGCCCCAAGATGGCCCCAAGAGGCCCCCAAGAGGCCCCCAGGAGGCCCACAAGAGACCCCTAAGAGGCCCCAAGAGAACCCCCAGAGGCACCCAAGATGCTCCAAGAGGCCTCGGCGAGAATGCCAAATCATTGATTTCACGCAAGTTTTAGCCACATGTTGGCCTCTTGGGGAGGGCCGTGATTAAGATGATTCCAAGAGCGTCTGGGAAAACCCAAAATGACCTCCAATATGGCTCAAGATATCCCAAGATGTCTCATAATGGCTTCCTATGTGTGCTGCCCACTTCCCTGATCGAGGCAATTTCTCTGGGCATCGTTTCTGGATGGGCTGGTGGAGATTCGCGAAGCGTCAACAATTTCGGTACATTTTCGGTGCTCGAAATTCTTTCTGGTCGTCAAGGCTAAAGTAAGTTGGAACATCATGAGGGTACACCAGGCTCCCACGACTTGCTACCAGCACTCCTGCTCCGAGAGCCTGGCCCGCTGCCCCTCCAGCGCCTTGCTGGCGGCCGCGAGCGAGCCGCGGGCGGCCCCCGCCAGCCCTGCGCCGGCCGGCCGCCCCACCTGCAGGGCCGCGCGGCCCCCGCCGGGCGCGGCCACGCCCAGCCGAGCGTGGGCGGGCTGCGCCTGCCGGGCCCAGTCGCCTGGGGGCCGCCCAGCGAGCGCCGCCCCCGCGGCGGGGCGCGGCGGCACGCCGGGCGGACTGCTCGGCGAGCAGGGCGGCGCTGCCCTGGCGACGCCGTGGGGGCGGACGCCTTCGGGCCGAGACGGCGGCCGCTCGCGAGCGGGCGGCCGGGCGCCGCCAGCGCCCGCCCAGGTGGAGTCCTGCCCGTTCTCGGGTGGGTTCTTGGGTGCGCAGCCGCCTCCGGCTTCCGCTCGCCCGAGCCCGCGCGGGTGGTCGAACTCGTCGTCGGTCTCCCATTGCTCGCCGTCGCTCTCCTGGCAGGGTGGCAGAGACCGCGCGGTGGGGAGCGACGGCATGGTGGCCTCCTGCATGGTGGGCAGTGAGCTCATGCTCGGCAACGACGCGTAGCTGTGATCTGAACCTTGGCATGATGCGTGAGAGGCCACGTTCAGGTAAGCTGCGAGAGATCCGTGAGTATCCATCGTTGACGTAGTCATAGAGAAGCCCTGACTGTTACCACTGCGTATTCCGGTCGGGCCGCAGAAGCCGCAATCGTTGCAAGTGGCGTTGGGGCTGCCTCTTTGGATCCACTGAGTTACACACCTCGTTGGCGAGTCCATGTTCGCAAGACGTAAGCTGTAGAAGAGAAGGCGGTGCGGTCAAAGCGTTAAGCCAGAATTCGTACTTGACCTGAAACGTCTGAGCCAAAAATGGCTACGGAACTAAGATCTCCGGTAACTGGTTAACAATTTGTGTAGTTCGCGCGGGCGGGGCGGCCCCTGGGAGCCCCCGGACCCAAAATACACTTGGAGCAGCTGGGCTGTAGCCTGGCAGACTCCCCCAGAGCGCTCCAGGAGCGCTTCAAGAGGGCCCCCATGGCCCCCAAGACTGTCCAAGAGGGCTTTGAGCCACCGAATGAACGGTCTAAGACTCCAAGACTCCCAAGATGGCCTCCAGACGGCCCAAGACGCCTTTGAGACACCCCAAGGAGGCGTCCAAGAGACCTTCCCAGAGAGCCTCGAGAAGAACAAATTTGTACTTTTCCAACGGTGTTTGAGATTTTGGCGTTCTCATCTGTTCGACTGCCCAGCGGACCAAGACAGCCCAAGAAGTCCCCCAAATCGCCCCTACACAGCCCAAGAGGCCTCCAAGAGCGCCCCAAAACGACCCCGGAGAGCCCCAAGACAGACGCAGGCGACCAAGATCACCCAAAAGGCCCCCAAGACGGCTCCAAGACTCCAAGAGCGGCCCCAGACGGGGGGCCCGAACGGGAATTTCAAGTTGTAGGCCCCAGGAGGCCCCCAAGAGGCCCCCGAGAGGCCCCAAGAGATTCCCGAGAGGCCCCCAAGAGGCCCTCAAAAGGCCCCCAAGAGGCCGCCGTGATGCCCCAGGAGGTCCCAGAAATACCGCCTACAAGAGGCCCCAGAGATGCCCCCCCCCCCCCCCCCAAACGACCCAAAAACGCATCCCAAAGAGGCGCTTGGCCACGACCAAGTTTGGCCACACAATGGACCAAGAAGC